CATTCTCCAGCACCACCACTGTCTTCCATTATATCAGCTCCCTCCTCAAGCTTGAGTATCTTGCTCAAAGTTTCAAAATTCAGTCACTTCATCCTCCCCCCTTCTAACGTACCACTGTTTCCCTCTAAAATGCAACTTGACAATTTGCTCACCATTATGGATCTTTTAACTGTGAAACCTACTGGGGAACCCTGGATAAGCCTCCAAGGTTCTCTAACATTGCCTAAAATGTGGTTTGAAATCCACTGATTCAGACAGTTCCTGTAGCAATTATAGTGGTGCTTATCTATGCAGGCTTTTCCTTTCTGGGACCAGCAATATCTGTTCCAGCCCTATATTATCATCCTGGCTGAACGTATGTTGGCAGCAGGAGACTGCAGAGGTGGGAGGTTAAGGCTGTCAGAGGATATGTAACAAACTTCCATCACAAAAGATTCCGATTGCTTCTTCCTGCAGATAGAAAATAACCAGAGTATGCTCGAGAGAATGAGAATGGAAAATAAAACACAAAGATTTCCAGTCTAGACTTGCCGTAATCAGTGAAGGCATCCTGAAAGTCTTCACAAGCATTCAATTTGAGCGTATTTGTCTGTCTGAGAGAAATTAAATTGCACTGTGCTGTGAAAGGATATTTATTTTTTTACATTGGCAGCCCAGCCTGTCCAAGCACCTCCGCCTGGATACTTTTAAAAATGGTCAGCTTCCTTTCAAATTTCAGTAGCCGAGCAGTTATTTCAGTATGGAGGATGCCAAAAAGGCCAAAGCTCTGGCCTGGTGTATGCTAAAGGGTAAACTGATAAGCAGTATTTTATGAACATTTCTGTGATTTTTTCTTACAGCTAATAATAATTAAACCAACATTTAAACAGAACCCTTCCCTTTAAAAAAAAGCAAAATACTTTGTTCATTTGCATACCTATATCTTGTATTACACCATTTCTTTGTTAATAACAATGGGTTGGATTCTGTGGAGGATGTCTGCTGATGAAAGGGTGTATGATTTCCAACAGTTCCCCGCACACACACACTGCAGGCCACCAGCTCCCCCCTCCCCGCTGTTCCTGGGAGTCCCCTGCTCGCAAGGAACAGCATTTCGAGGGGCATTTTCCCTTGCAGGGGAAGGGGGGGGGGGGGGAGGAAGTCACATGGAAATTTTTGGCAGGTTCCAATCTAAGAGGTACCTATTATGAATAACCAGTGATTTCCTGAGAGGCGCTCCTGAGGAATAATGACATGTGGTCAGAAAAGGGTGGGTGGGTGATGCTCTAAATGACACCCCGTAATCAAAATATTAAACTAAAAAGTAGTTGTTTGACTTTTATTGATATCATTTCAATTCACCAAATGGCAACGTGAGGAAGAGGGTTTCATATGGACTTAACAATGCTCAAGCTAAGAATGTGGTGGTTCCTCAGCAAATAAAGTCTCTGTGGAGTCACAGTTTATTGTGTGTCTTAGCCCTGGAAACTTGGTGTACATATGGTGTTACTTAGAGGGCAGTCTAAACTGAGACTCAGTGTGGTGCAGGAGGTGAAGTGTTGGGCTGGAATCTGGGAGACCTGGGCTCAGTTCCTCATTTTGTCATAAAGCTGATTGGGTGACCTTGAGCCAATGACTGTCTCTCAGCCTATTGTACTTCACAGGATTCTTGTGCTGATAAAATGAGGAAATGCACACAACTCTATACGCTTCTTGGAGGAAGGGTGGGATGAAAATGTACCAGACATATTTTAGAGATCACATTGAAAATATGCCGATCTTTACGATAAGCAGAGGTCAAACACATTTATGTTGATTGCATCTGGTAAAAGCACCATAGATTAAAGCTGTTCATTGTATCTGGTAAAAGCACCATAGATTAAAGCTAATTAATTTGCTTTGCCTAGTTCCTCCAAAGATACAACGTGGACCACAAGTGATGAAAGCAAAAGTGGGTTACAGAATTGATCTACCATGCAGTGCCGAAGGAGTCCCACCTCCAGCTATCACTTGGCTTAAAGATCGTAATCCCCTTTTGATAGACAGCGGGCGGTACGTTGTGTCCATGGATGGGATGCTGAGCATCAGCAATGTCTTGCTTTCAGACTCTGGAACCTACAAATGCATGGCGAATAACATTGCCGGTCAGGACGAAGTTGAGATAATTGTCCATGTTCAAGGTAACTGTAACATTGCATGTAGAAGTGTTACCAAAATGCATGATGTCTCTTAGTATTAGTGGGGTGAAGTTTTCACTTGCCATGGAGAGCTGTTAAGTCATTACATTTTAACAGAAAGATACAGCAAAATCTGATGTTTGCTTGTGATCCAGAAAACAACAACGTTGAATCCATTGAATTGTTACTGAGCGATCAGCACTAATATGCATAACTAGGTAACATAGCAGACCAATTAAGGAGCTGATGGGACAACTGAGTTTTTGTTGCCAGAATGGAGAAATGCCAGGCAGATGAATGGAGAGGAGTCTACTAAGGAAAATGTCTAATCTATCCTTCAAAAAATAAGCAGCGAAGTAAGGAGTTAAAGGAATGTGTCTGGCTAGTCTAGTGTTGTATCAAGAGGATAATGTGGCCCAGTAGATGGCAGTATTGTGTCTCTGTTACCTGCTACTCCTGGAAAGGTGTGTTTCAGATTTCAGGTGAAAAACCAGGTTTGTGATGTGAGCAATGCTCCCTCTAAGCTGTGGAGTCTTGTGAGCAAAAATTCTGCTTTGTGAGCTACTGGCACTAAGGTTGTGAGTGTGCGATTTGGCTACTGCATAAATTAGTTTGCTCTGGAGCCATTCTTCCTCAGCTAAGACAAAAATGTGTGAGCTAGAGGCTAAAAAACTGAGCTAGCTCACACTAACTCAGCTTAGAGGGAACACTGTTTGTGAGCCAATTCATGTTACATGCACTGAGTGTGTTTGCCACATGCACAGTGGTGTTTTCAGTTCTGAGCACTGTGAAATATGAAGGAAAGGCAAATGGCTCCAAACACATGGGAAGAAACATGTCAGAGAGCTACGACTGACCTAGATGGATGTGAAATATGCCCCTGCTTGGGGTTTATATTCAGAGAATACAGGATTTCCTTAGAGTTCTTTTGTCAAGGAATTTTGGCACACTTTAGCCACCCTGAAAAGCTTTTAAGCAGCAGAAATAACATTCTAACCCAAAGCAGGCAAACTCTTACATTTCCAAACATTATTAAAAATTAATTGCAGACTATTGCTTTATGATCAATTAAACACTTCTGAATTTCGAATAGAATGCTGCGGAATGTGTCAGAGCATGTAAAATTCTGTTTCTGTTCTTCGTTGCTTTTCTTTTAGAACCTCCAATAGTCAGTGACCTTGATCCACCATATAACACTCCATTTCAAGAACGAGTAGCAAATCAACGTATTGCCTTTCCATGTCCAGCCAAAGGTGAGGAATGGCGTATTATTTGGTGCTGTTCATTTTGCCCTTTTTCTTCATGATTGGAAGCATAATGGATTAAAAAAATCTGAGAAAAATGTTTAAAATGCAAGGAACATAGAATGCGATACTATGCAGAGTTAGGCTGGGCCAAGCCCATAATGATCACGTAGTTACTGGTTTGGATGTCGTCAAATTTACCACAGGTGGTAGGGTTTCCACCCTTGGAGAACAATTATCTCACATGACCCTCTCCCATTACAGCACAAAATGCCCCCCTTGAGATCAAAAGGCTCCCAGGAACAGTGGGAATGGGGAGTTAGAGGACTGCTATGGGAGCAGGGAATCAGCCCCCTTCCACCTTGCTGTGCAGATCTGTTTGATTTTTTTAGGGGTTTTTTTTTAAAGATTTTTGTAGTTTTGTCTCTATTTTTTACATTTATTTTGATACATAATCACTTGGGAAAGAATGAGTGTATGAAAGAGATCCAGAGTCACACAGAATTAAGGACAGGGCTTCAAGAATGTGTCTATGGGCTACATTTTGTCTGTGGTGTTTTTAAAAAGTTGCTCCTTTTAGAGGGTAGAGAATAATGTCTGTCATAGGGACATCTAGATATCTTCCTCCTGTGGGCATATGAAAAATCTAGGATTTACAGTATCTTTTCTTCCCCTTGGAAGAATACTATCTAGTGCAAAATGGCATAACCTCAACCTTTATTGTACATGTTTAGATAGGTTTATCTTTTTTTAACAATATATTTATTGGGTTTTTAATAGTATAAGCCTATATCATACATATAAACAAGAAAACCAACAAGACTACATACAAAAACCTATGACAGCAATTTTCTTTTCAGCAACACAGGGTAACAAACAGACCAGACAAAAAATAAATATTTTGTTCTTATCCTCAGCCTTATGATCAATTCTGTGTTGAGTAGATACTTCTATTTCTATTTCCTTTAAGATTTGTATACTACATTTTCAGAAATACACTGTACATATCAGTAGTATAAGACATTCATAATTGCTTTTTATATTCCTCATTATCTTCACCATGCAAGGTTCTAACGCTTGCACATCCTCCAGTAGTCTGCCAGTTCCTTGCTTCTAGTATGGGTACAGGGTTTAATATTGAAATTTTTAAGTCTTTTTCTTTTATTACCCTTTTAACTTTTCAATCAATCTCTACACCCTTTATATTAATTTATCATTTTGTTGGAACCATTATATCAAACTTAGCTAGAAAGTTAACTCTACTATTTATTAAATGAGGATTTTCCACTTAGTTACACCAATATCTTCCAGTTATAGTTTACCAGGTCTTTATCTATCTTTGTTTATCCCAAAGTTAATCTTTATCCAACACAATCATGCTGAGCTGTTATCAAAATTAATTAGAACTTAATTACAACATCATAACACAACTTTCTAACACCATTAAACACAATTAAATAATTAACCACACCATATTCTAACCTCTCTTATTATAACAATTATTCCACTAATCTGCCAATTCATTATTTTTTAATATAATTGATCCTAAAACTTTTTAAATATTTTACTTTTACTAACAATTTATTAATACCTTTATACTGATTTTAACTTAAAAA